AAAGTCCAGTAACAGAGAATGTATTGAGAGAGCAGATTTGACAGTTGTGTTACTGAGTATTTGCAAATTCTTACAAGGAAAATTTTACTCAGTAAGAATTTTCTTCTACCATCAGCTGGCATTTAATCAGCTGTTTTGTTATGTTTTATAAACAGACAAGAAAAAATTGTTCTCAAGCAAATAGATTTGTTTTGTGAATTTGATTATTAAACATTAAAATGGATGCAGAAAACACAGGTATTTATAAATAACCTAAAATTTCCGATTGTTATCCATTTTTCTAATAATTATTTGCGCCAAACTTTTTACTGGATGTTGTTCGTTTACTTTTTGCAATATTCACTCTTGAGAACGAAATATTCGTATTTACTCTCTGCAAATTCTTACTGAGTAAATTTTACTGGGGAAGTAAATGAACGAGCCTAATTTTAATACTAATCAGCTGATTTAAAAGACAGCTGTTTTCTTACATAGTAAATATAGAAATTATACATACATACACATAGATGCAAAATGTTAACAAAAATCTATCACTTATTAATATAAACAATTTTAAATATATTTAATTTTTTATTAAATAGAATAAATTGAAATAAAATTTGTTTTTATATTCTATTAAGAAATTGTATCCAAAAGATAGCAATCATTTACCTGAGTCAAAGCAATGAGACATTTTATATGCAAGAGCACAACAGCAATATTGAATCATTTTAATTGTATGCCTTAATTATGGGTTTTGTTGTTGTACATGCACCACATTTTCTTTGTTGTTTTTTGTTTTCTTTTTATTGTGGGCTACCATTAATGTAGCAATTTAATTTAAATGCCTTTGCAAATAAATAAACAAATCTAATCCGATTAATTTTGTTTTTGTTAAATGTTTCAATTTAAAATTAGCATGGAATTTTATTTAACTTTTATTTTAAAGTTAACATAAGGTTCGTTCGTTTACTTTCCCAGTAACATTTAATCAGTAAGAATTTGAAGAGAGTAAAATACGAATTTTCCGTTTTCAAGAGAGAAAATTGCAAAAAGTAAAAGCATGATGCAATAATAAGGTGATGTACCAAAACTATTGTTTTTGTCTCGATTATCTGTCAAATTTTTCTTTATAATATTTTAAATGGTTGGCAACACTACACATCGAATTAAAGTAGAAATTACCCACTTTGACAGTTAATCAAGACATCAGCTGCGCTAAATGGACTACTTATTCATTGTGCCATGAGTAAAAGAATGAATGACCAGTAAAAGGATTGTATCGACACAGCTGATTAAAACAACAAAGAATTAGGCGCAAACAAAAAAAAAAACAGAATTTTTATTTGAAAAGTAGAAAACAAGCGAAAAACGTATGTTATTTATAAATGCTTGTTTTCAAAAACAATTGATTTGCTTGAGAACAATTTTGTTGTTTGTTTACAAAACATAACGAAACAGCTGATTTATATCATCAGCTGATGGCAGAAGAAACTCATGTTAATTGGTAATAATTACTATTTTTAAGTTCCCAGCCTCTATAATCTAATCTATAGATATAGCTTAAGAACAATGTGGATCAAAAAATGTAGATATTAATTTATCTTAAAACCTTTTTAATTTTTTAAAATAAAAAAATATGCCATTCGACATGGATAAAATTTTATGGAATTTATTTTTCAAACCATTTGAAATTGATAGATGAGTTCCAAGTTAAAAAGGGTAGCCATTATTAATTTCTCAAATGAGACTACCTTCTGTAATTATGCCATGTATGAAAACGTTAGCATAGTTAAAATCTTTGATATTAGACTAGAGAAAAAAACAGCTGACTTTCGCTAGCTGGGCGAGCTTATTAATAGATCTCGATTCTTACTGAGTAAATTCCTTGTAAGAATTTGCAAATACCCTGTAACACAATTGTGAAATCTGCTCTCTCTCTCTCTCAATTCGTTTTCTTTCACTGGACTTCTGGGTAAGCGAATAACATTTGTACAAGGCATATAAATAAGGTCGTCCAGGGAGACCAGCTGGATATCGGCTGCCTCTCAAGTTTGCTGTCAAAATCCATTATTGTGAATGAACTTCCATTATAAAAACGTAAACAGAAGCCACATTTTTGACATTAGACTTGAGAGAAAACAGCTGAATTTCGCTAGCTGGGTGACCCTATTAATAGATCTTGAGAATCAAGATAATAATTTGTACAAATTTGTACGAATTACTGAGTAAACGAACGAACCTATTTCTAAGTGGGGAAGAAGTTAATATCTTATTGAAAATGTAGCAACTAGCAACTGACAACTTCTTTGTGAAAATTCGATTTAAAATTTATTTAGCAAAATCTGGACCTACAATTTTCAACAATAACTCAATTTATAAACATAACAAAACAGCTGATTAATATCATCAGCTGATGGTACAAGAAAATTCTTACTGAGTAAAATTTTCCTTGGCTATGTTTCTTATATAATGATCCCAAGATTATTTTCTTTTTGAAATTTTGTTGTAAAAAATACTAAATATATCAAGGAACAACTAATGACTTCTTTGAGAAAATTCGATTTAAAATTTATTTAGCAAAATCTGGAACTACAATTTTCAACAATAACTCAATTGTACTCAGCTGATGGTACAAGAAAATTCTTACTGAGTAAATTTTTCCTTGTAAGAATTTGCAAATACTCAGTAAGAAAACAGTCAAGTCTGTGCTCTCTCAATTTGCTCCCTTTTAATGGTCTTTTGGGTAAACGAATAACATTTTGTAATAATTTGTACGAGTTATTGAGTAAACGAACGAACCTATTAATAAGTGTCTTATTAAAAATAAAAATGTTTCTCAAAAAATTGTAAAAAAATGGGAATATATCAAAGAACAACTAATGACTTCTTTGAGAACATTCGGTTTTAAAATTGTATTAATATCGAAAATGGACCGGGACTTTTATACCAAATTCAATTTTCAAAAATAACTCAAATTATAGGAACAAATGCACTTTACGGACACCTCTCAGATAATTTTTACCATAGGTAGCCCTTCTGATGCTGATTACAGCAAGATAAATTTTTTCGGGGGGAAATCAGTACTTCCCGAGATATGGGGTTCCAAAGTTCAAAAAATACCCCCACTTTTTATTAAATATATTTAAGAATACCACTCCGAAACGTTTAAATATTTTACAGCACAATGTCCTTTTGGAGCTGATTACAACCACATAATTTTTTTTGTTTTGGAGAACTTCGTACTTCCGGAAATATGGGGTATCAAAATGTAATAAAACCCTACATTTTATACCCTTACTTATTATCCGACAACAAATTGAGTTATGAGAACAAAATTTTCTTTAAATTTAATTTTTTTTCTGAATAGACGGCCTTCGGCCGGAGATTTAAGACTTTCTCCTATGGACAGGTGGAAAATGGGGCTACGCGAGCAGAATTCTCTTTAAATTTCTGAATAGCCGGCTTTCGGTCGGGGATTTAAGACTTTCTCCTATGGACAGGTGGAAAATGGGGCTACGCGAGCAGAATTCTCTTTAAATTTCAATTTTTTCTGAATAGCCGGCTTTCGGTCGGGGATTTAAGACTTTCTCCTATGGACACGTGGAAAATTGGGCTATGCGAGCTGAATTCTCTTTTAATTTAAAATTTTTGTAAATAGCCGGCCTTCGTCCGGGGATTTAAGACTTTCTCCTATGGACAGGTGGAAAATTGGGCTACGCGAGCAGAATTCTCTTTTAATTTCAATTTTTTTTCTGAATAGCCGGCCTTCGGCCGGGGATTTAAGACTTTCTCCTATGGACAGGTGGAAAATTGGGCTACGCGAGCAGAATTCTCTTTTAATTTCAATTTCTTTTTTAAAAGTTATACATGATTGAATAAAATTAAAAGAATATTTAATAAGCAGGTAAATTATACATACCTCTGCTGATCCAGAACAATCCGGATGTCCCTAAAGGAAAAAATCCTTAAATAAAACAAATAACCATATAAGCTTATTTTTAAAATTTTGGAATCCCATATTTCCGGAAGTACGAAGTTTCACCCAAAAAAATTATGTGGTTGTAATCAGCTCCAAAAGGACTGTGTGCTGTAAAAAAATTAAACGTTTCGGAGTGGTATGCTGTAATCAGCATCAGAAGGGCTACCTATGATAAAAATTTCAAAATGATCTGAGAGGTGTCCCTAAAATGCATTTAAGCCAAATTATATTTTAATAAATATTTACAATGTTTTCATTATTTTATTCATTTTATTAAACACATTGGGCATTTTCAAATAAGAAATCAATTAAAAAAATCGAACATTCCCACCAGATTAATTACAATATTTCAATTATAATTCTATTAGTAGACATACATCTAATTTATGATAATTTCAACCACTCCCTATAATCTAAACAGATATATCAATAGTGTAACATTAGGAGCATAACAACAAATCAAATACAAATTCAAAATTATTGCCCGTAAAAAAATGAGGTTGATTCATAATTTTCGAAAATGACGATCAGAAAACGAAAAGCGGCTAGCCGGGCAGCCAAGCAAGCCAGCTTGCCGGGTGCTCTCACCTGTTGCAGTGAATTGTAAGCGTTGTGTTTATCGCTAGACATACATTGTTTGTTTATTTGTTGTACTCACCAAAAACAAAGATTCTACATCAGCTAGAGGAGGTGGTTAACTACTGCCACTGAATGGTCATTGTCTGTCATGCTGATGATGTCTGTCCAGCCCTTAACAAGTTTGCAACGATCCCCAGCTAAGCCGAGCTGCTGTTGTTGTTGTTACTGCTCATCGAACAATGATTCTTGGTTGTGTATTAACTTCGCGCCGAACAGAGATACTCAAAACACTTATAGTATTGAGTTGTGATGGTTTTTGAAAACAAAAAAACTGATCAAGCTATAAAAGCTAAAAACTCTCCAGAGTTAGGCATTAGTAGCTGCTTAGTAGTTTTAGTGGTAATAGCTGATATAGACAACGGATTATCGAACAGTTACCAATCCTCAATTTTAATCCAACATGAAGTGTTTTGTAAGTTTCTTTAAAACTCCTGACTCCTCCCAAAAGGATATTCCAAAATGCTAAAGTGTTATTTTTTTGTGTGTCAAAATTTCAGATCATTTGTGCCGTCATTGCCTGTTCCCTTGCCCTTGCCGTAAGAGCAGATAATGATCAAGTGGCTGCCGCCTCGGAAAATTCTGCATCAGATCAACTAACCGCCTCGGCCAGCACTTTGAATCCCTATTCGGAAAAACATCAAGGCAAACGTTATGTGGGTGGCTATAGCGGTCTTGGAGGTTATGGTGGTTATAATGCCTTAGATACGACAACATTGGGTTATGGTGCCGGTGCCCTTGGTGGTGTTGGTGCCTATACGGGAGCCTTGGGAGCGGCTGGTTATGGTGCTGGATATGGTGGCTATGGTGCTGGTTATGCCGGTTATGGTGGCTACAATTCCCGATTGGGTTTGGGTGAGTAAGAAATATTAAAGGTTCCCTACTTTCCAAACAGAAAAAAATAAAAATGTTGCAATTTTTTTACAAAATATTGAAATTACAATAGAATTTTGAATTATTACACCTCTAAAAATTCTATAATATCGATCCTATTGAAATTTCTACAAATCTAAGGTTTTTTCTCAATTCAATTATTACTTGTTTCGAACACATAACCTCAAAATTTAAAAGAAATTAAAAAAATTTCAATTATATTGCATTATAATAATTATTCAATTTATTTTTATTTATTATTTCATATATATTTTTTATTGCAATGAAAATACTTATAAAATCACAAAAGTTTTTAAAATTACAATAATTTTAAGGTTATATTTAAATTCGAAAATCAAAATTTCAAACTATTTTCTAGCATTTCACCCATACAATTATTCAAAAAATAATTACTTATACAATTTCTCTCCATTTGTATTTTTTTCAGAAGGCTATGCCGGTTATCCTGGCTATACTGGCGCTGGCTATTACCCCGGTGCCACATATCCCTATGGCAGTGCCTACTACAACAGCTATCGTGCCGGTGGTGCCTATCCTTATGGTCGTGGTACTTATGGTTATAACAGCTACCCATCCAGCTATTATTCTGGCGGTTATGGCAGCAGCATTGTTGGGGGTGGTTTGGGTGCTTTGGGTACCCCGGGTTATGTTCCCCCTGTGGCTGGTGCTGGTTATAACTATGGTCCCGGTATTACCGGTACTGTTTATTGAGCAAATTGCATTGAGTGGTAATTTGCTTAGAGCAGTTCAAACAAACAATTTAGAACAAATTGTAAAATATAATAAATTTTTTTCTACGCAAAATAAATTAATTTTGAATATTTAAAAAAAGGAGTGAAGTTTTTTATTTCAATAAATTATGGATCAGTTTAGAAAAAAATTCTACAGAAAAGTTCTTTGCTGAAAATATATAGTTTGTATATTTTAAAAAGAAAATTAAATCAACTTTATAAAATATTTCAGTATTTAAAAAAGTCAGTTTAATTTTTAATATTCTGTAGGAATATTGGAAATTAATTTGAATTGTTTTTATTAATAAAAAAAGTTAGGTTATTTTATAGATTACAAAAAAATGATACAAGTTCTAAACCATTTTATTATTTATTCACAACTTTGCTGTTCGAAATTAAAGTCTTTTTCAAAATTTTACTAATACAAGGTAAGCTTATACCCAACCTAACTTAATTTTTGCTTTAATTTCAACATATCGGTGCGAATTTTTTCTATTTAAATTAAAATATTTTTCGGACATAACCTCAAATTAAAAAAAAATAATACAAATAATCTACTCTATAACATTGTAGTTATTATTTTATTCAATCTAGTTGAAAATTAGCAAACGATTAAAAAAATGCTACCAGTTTTGTTACTTTTCAAATCCTTAATTAATTTTTATTTTTTCAAAATATTTTCTTCCAAAAACTTGGTAAACTTTAACCAAGCCAACGTCAGGAACATATCACACTTTCCTACTAATAAAATCCTAGGTTAATTAAATATTTTATTGTTTTATATCTGTAAAAAAATTTAAAAAAATATATATTGTGTTAATCTAAATTTTATATTCATTTAACATTTTTATTATTATTTTTATTATGAATATTATTTTTTTTTAAAGAAGAAAAGTATTTAAACTTAACCTCAATTTTTGACAGAAATTTCAAAATTTTGAAATTAAATACATATTTTTTTGTATATAACGTATATTAAACAATGTTCAACTATATATTTTTCTGCAATTATAAACAAACATTCTTGGAAATTATTTAAAAAATGTAATATTTGAACATAACCTCAATTTTTTATTACATTTTTTAAATGGAAAGAAATTTGTAATTTTTCAAATATAAATATATTGATCAATAAAAATGAAACTTCGATTATAGATTTTTTCTTCAATAAAAACAAACCTTCTTGGAACTATTAAAAAAATACAATATGTAAACAAAACCTCAATTTTTAATTAAGTTCTTTTAAAAAACAAAAAAATTGAAATTTTTAATACAAACAAAATATATATATATATATATATATATATATATTTAAACATAACCTAAATGTTTAAATAATTTTTTTAAGCAAATCGATTTTTATTTTATTTAATATATTTATAAATTAAAAATCGATTTTCTTTAAAAAAAAAAATTAGATAAAAATCAATGTAAATCAAAATAAGTCTATAGATTTTTCTTTGATGAAAAACTTTTTTAAACAGTTAAAAAAAAATGTTAGAACATAACCTCAATTTTTAAAAAAAAATATTAAAAAAAAAGAAATTTCAAATTTGTTGATCTATAAATATAGAAACTAACGTCAATCAAAGTTTATCTATAGATTTATATTCAATAAAAACAAAGCTTTTTTTACCAATTTGAAAAATATTTAAACATAACCTCAACTTTTATATAAAGTTTTTTAAAAAAGGAAAGAAATTTCATATTTTTAATATATAAAGGTCTTTATCAATGTAAATCTAAGTTTGTCTATAGATTTTTTCTGTAATAAAAACCAACCATCTTGGAAATAATTAAAAAATATAATATTTAAACATAACCTAAATTTTGAACTAAATTCTTTTAAAAACAAAAGAAATTTAATTTTTTTAATATATATAATATATTATAATATATATAATATATTATAATAATATATATAATATATTTAATACATATAAAATATTTAATATTTACGCTTGTCTATAGATTTTTTCTTTAATAAAAAATAAAACCTTCTTGAAAATAATAAAAAAATAGAATTTCAACTTAACCTCAATTTTTAAAAAAAATTCTTTAAAAATTAACAGAAATTCAATATTATTAAAATATAAAGATATAATTATCAATGTATATCGAAATTATTTATTAAAAATGAACCTTTTTGAAAATATTTATACTTAACCTCAATTTTTAACTGAATTTTTTTTAACACACTAATACTTAAATTTCGTTATTGTTTCAATAATTAATAAACTGTTTTAAAATATCTAAAATTATTTATACATAACCTCAATTTTTAACTGAATTATTTTTTTAACATTCTAATACTTAACGTTCATTATTGTTTCAATAATTAATAGACTGTCTTAAATAAAGCGTAGTATTCATGTTCTTTGGTCCGCTATTTAAAATGAGTAGTCGTGCGTAATAGAAATAAAGCTTGTTGAAATTGTTTAAAAATATTATATTTAAACATAACCTCAATTTTAACTAATTTTTTTTAACGAAAATAAATTTTATATTTTTTACTTATAAAGATATTAATCAATGTATATCGAAATTAATCTATGGACCTTTTTTAAATAAAAACAAACGCTTTTGAAAATGTAAAAACCATTTATACATAACCTCAATTTTAAACTAAAATATTTCTTTAACATTCTGATACTTAACGTTCATTATTGTTTCAATAATTAATAGAAAGTCTTTAATATAGGGTAGTATTCGTGTTTTTTGGTCCTCTATTTAAAATTAGTCTTTGTGTATTCTTTACTTGGGACCCATAATGGAAAATGCATGGTCAACATTTTTTAAATAAATAACCCTTCGTAAGCTCCGGAACTATGGACAGCATAAAGAAAAACCTATAAGTTTCATAAGGAACCCATGGGCAACTTGTGATTCGCAAAAATCTCATTGTGAAAAGCAAAAGCGATTCGAGACTGGACCTTAAACTTATTTTATGCTGAAATTTCTTCCCTTTATATAAATCTAGTCTTCAAAATGAAAACACATTTTATTAATTTGTTAATATAATTTTTAATAATTTATTTTATTTATATATTTTCCAATAACATATTAAACATTATTAAATTGGAATTAAATACATACATATTTTGTGATGAGATTTCTTATTTTTTTATTTTTATTTTATTATTTTATTTTTGTTATAATTATTTAATTTAACAATTGAACTAAATAATAGGAAATGACATAAAATGTGGGTGGATATTAGGGGTAGGGGGTGAATTTCCAATTAGCTGGCAAGCAAAACATTCCAAAACAAGAAATAATGTTTTTTCAACTAATCAAAAGGGGTGATTACAAGTTGTGGAATGATAAGATTTGGAAAATATACACAAAACATAATACAAAAAATTAGAAAAATTAAATTACATACAAAAAATAAAACTTAAAAAAAAAATATGCTGCTAAGGGGTAGGGGAATGTTTACTAAAATTAATGACTAATGACAAATCATAATTAAACTAATGAGTAAATTTTGGTTACTTCCATCATCAATTGTACATAAATTGCAGATTAGCTCTCGGATTTTTCCTCCAACACCTTTTTTTAACCCTCCTTCAACGAATTACCCCATTCCCGGGCAATCATAAATATGGTATGTTGATTTAGTTTGGGCCCAATCAATGGATTCATCTGGGCCATGTAACAGCACAGCCAAAACAGCCAACAACAACAACCCGTCAACATAAGGGTACAGCGTATAAGATTTTGATGTGGCCCCTTTGGTGTCATCATTGGCAGGCCAATACCAACGCCAGCCCAAATGGCAGTAAAGAATAAAATTGGAAAGAATGATGCTCCCATTTTGTAGAAGTTTTTTTATTAGTTTTTAGATGTTTTTTTTGCTAATAGCAACAGCAAATCCGTCGAAACGAAAATTTTCCTTATTTTTTTTCTGTACAAGGAAACAATGCCTCAATGACAGCTCACCGAAAATATACGTCTTCTTCTTCTTCGGTGGGTTATGCATTCAATGTGGGTTGATAGCACGTTACAGCATGTAATGTTGCCACCTTGGTGAGTTGGTGGAAATAGGAAAACTGATTTTAATATAATTTCCGTTTCTTTTAAAGTATATATTTATATAAATGAAAGGTATATGATGTATAGAATATATATATATATATATATATAAATAATTACTATACAATATAAAAAGTGGTTTGTACCAGATCCGGCAAGTATGTAATATTTTTACTGCGATAACAATTTTTCCTTTATGATATTGAGAAAAATAGTAAAAATAAGTAGGTTCTTGCAGCACGGGAACAGACCAATTATTTCTTTTAAAAAAATCATAGAAAATAGTGTGTATTCCGAACATAGAAACTGACACAATTTTTTAAATTATAAGGTTCGTTTGTTTACTCAATAATTTGTAAAAATTTAACAAAATGTTGTTCGTTTACCCAAAAGTTCAGTAAAAGATAATGAATTGAGAGAGCAGATTTGACAGTTGTGTAGTATTTGCAAATAAGGAATAATTTACTCAATAAGAATTTTCTTGCACCATCAGCTAATGATATTAATCAGCTGCTTTGTAAACAAACAACAAAATTGTTCTCAAGAAAATTGATTGTTTTGTGAATTTTATTTTGATTTTGTATCATTTAATATTAAAGTAGATGAAGAAAACGCAAGTTTTCTTGTTATCTATTTTTCTAATTAAAATGCTGTTTTTGTTTGCCACAAATTATTTGTGGTTTTAATCAGCTGTGTCGATACAAACTTTTTACTCGTTTACTTTTTGCAATTTTCACTTTTGAGAACGAACAATAGATATTTTCTCTCTGCAAATTTCTACTGATTAAATGTTACTGGGAAAGTAAACGAACCTAATTTTAAATTGTAATCAGCTGATACTTGTTTATACATACACCCAGATGCAGAATTTTTTTCAAAAAAAAAATATTTTTAAAATCAGCTGATACTTGTATATATATATACACACACAGATGCAGAATTATT